AAGTAAAATGAGTAAGAACTGCTGTTCTGGAAAGCAACTTCCAGTTAGAGGACTATTTACAGAAGATATTAACAGAACAGAATTACCTCTGGCATCAAGCTTACTTGCAGAAAGATAATGAAAGACTGGAGATCTTTTTTTATCTGTTAAATGAAATTATGTTCCCACAGCACAAATGTCAAAACTATCCTGTGTCCTCTGTGCTGTGCCTGAACAACCTGAAAACACTTCCAGTTGTTTACCTACAACCAACCAAAGAGCTCAACACAACCCCAGGGTTCAGTAAATCCAACAATAACTTCAGTGGGGTCTATAAATTGTCCAGAGTGGAGCAGTTATTAAAATAATAAAGTTACAGAAATACCATGTTCCACAGATTTATGATTTAAGAGAGCACCTTTGCTCTGAGATCTCCTCTTACCTGCCAGGCAGCTGCAGCCCTAACTTGATTACCCTGCCATGCAGAAAAGAAAGATCCAATGCACAAGCTGTGGCATAAAGGTCCTCAGAGCTCTAAACAAGGATGCTGAAATCCCAGCAGTGTGACCCAGCAGCCACCTCACCTCTGCTGCTGAATTTCCTGTGCAACCCACACCCCCCGGAGTGTCCCACCCACTGAGCTCCATCCAGCACAAGAGCAGGAACTTACAGAGCACAGGGATGACCACAGTCCAGGTGCCTCTGCCTGACCTCACACCAATGGTGGGCAATGTTCCTCTGCCTCACACAGCACAAGAGCTGAGATAAGATGGAAAGAACCCTGCCATGCAAAGCTCTGACAGGAGACCTTCCCTGCTGGTACTTCCATCAGCTTCCTCCTCATGTCACCTCTGCCAGGTCATCTATAAACAAGAATGAGCAGTGAGAATAAAGCTGGGTAGGAAGGCTCCCAGGGGTTGCAAATGCCCAATGAAGCTAGAAAATTATTATATTTGATTATATCAGGTTTGTGGGATTTTTTTCCAAAAGGAAAAAAGCAGGGGTACCTAAGGCATTATCAGAACACCAATGTTTAACTCAACCCTTCACTCATGTCAGTTTCAGGAAAGAGCCTTACACAACTGAGCAACAACAAAACCTCATGAATATCCACATTAACAAATCCAGGCATTTGCATATGTGACATCATGAGGGGCTGCCCAGGCAGGCTTCCTAAAACTTTACAAAAATCCATCAAAAGAGGGGTAGGCAGAACATCCTGCTTTTGGTACCTGGCTGAAACCTGAATATCTCCAAAACAACCCGAAGAACCCACACACTCCTCAATGCAGAAACTAATCCCTCATTACAGGTTTGGGTTAAAATCAGCTTAAAAAAAAGATGGTATCCAGCAGTCTCAGAAGAAAACATGCACCACGAGGACATGAGAGTATTGCCTCAAGTATGGCTCAAGGGCTGTCCAGATCAAATGTGCTAGCACCTGCACTTTCCTCCGACCAGGATGGAGGTTCAGCAACAAATGTTTCAGATGACTCTGTGGAATATTGTGGTATTGAAGTTAAGAAGCCTGCACCAAGCTGAAAAGTTCAGGTTGTCTTTTTATAACTCTTGAAATCAACAGTCATTTAGTAGATGCTGCACATCGATATTTTTTCATGTAATTTTTGAGTGCTTTATAAAGACAAGTAGGTATCCTGCCTGTTTTACAAGTGTAAAACAGATGCAGAAACACTTAATGTGCTGTGAAATTGGCTATCACTTAATATCAGACCTGATAGCAAGGACTCCTTTCAGTCCCTCTTAAATACCACTAGATTACCCATATAGAGAGGGGATATCAAAAAGATTAGTTTTGTGCTCTTTCAGACACACAGCAACTTTAAACAAAAAAAACCCTAACAATTCTATGTTTTAAATGACTCTCACACTTCTACCCCTGGTATTCAGAAAATCTGCAACCCAGATGTGCAATCTGCACTTTGAAAGTATTCGAGATTTATTTAAAAAAAACAACAAAACAAAACCACACATTTTCCTGTATATCCATTTGGAACAAAACCTGTCATGTATCCTGTCTCAGAACCCAAAATTAAAAATGTATTTTATTCATCCTGAATGGGCTTCTGGCCTGACAGGCATTGTCTCCTTAAGGACCTAGAAATACAATATTCACAGCAACAGTACATTGGTGACACGAGACTGCTTACTGCATGGCCAGTTTGTCTGTGGTGCCAGCTTGCAAACACAGAGTATTTGGGATTCTTGGGGTGGAAAAGCAGCTACATAGAAGATAAAGTGGCAAAAAAGCTAAGTAGGAGAAGAAAAGAGGTGAATTTTTTCTAGCCAACCTCTGGCCTAGCCAGATATAAAGAAAAGTCCTACTGTAAAGAAAAAAAAACAGTATTACAGAGGCATTTAGTTTAATTAAACAATTATAAAGTGTTCACAATATACAAAAACATCATCTGAAACATGGACTTAGTAGATGAGCTACTCACATTTTTGCTGCAAACGCAGAGTTTCACACATTATGCTACACATCAAGAAAAGAGTCAATAATGTTTGTTACATAAAGCAGTGATTAGATTACACTCCCCTGATATCCGCCTGCACAACTCTTCTGTCTGTCAAAAAATGAACACACATTAGGCAACACCACCTAAATACTTGTAAACAAAGACTGCTAAGAACAAGTGTGGTAACAACATTGTTAACTTGCACAATCCCAACACAATGTGTGTGTTTAAGGAAAGCATGTTGGCTCAAATCCATGGTTTCTGTTTCATTATTGCACTTGATGTTTCCTCTCTTCTGGAGGATCAAAGCTTCACTGGAGATGCAACTGATTCAGACCAAGATGTTAATTTTTATCTTTTTGGTTAGGTAGTCTTCCTTACTTAAGCAATGAACAGAAAAATTATAAAATATCAGTGTGTGCATATTAAGAAATAGCAAACATGACTGAAACAGGAATCATGACATCACAGCTTCTCTAGGATAACAGCAAAAACAGTCTTACAACCAAACCAGAGAACCATACTGTTAAATCAGACTGTGTTCCATTTCTGCAAAGAGTGCTGAAATCCAAGCCAGAGTTATGTCCTGTGTAAATCCATCTATGGGGAGTGGCAAAATACACCAGATAACCCTGCAAAACCACAATTTTAAACTGTAGTCTCTAAATCAACTGATGCTGCAAGTCTTGAACTTCCAGTGCACAAGCAGCCAAAACCTCATCACCTCAGCTTCAAGATCTTACACCATTTTATTAGAAATTGTGGTTTGCAGATTGAGATCCCTCTGGAAAAAAAACACAACAAAAGAAAGTAGTGAAGAAACCATGCAAGGTTCCACTCATCTTAGGGAAACTTTACTAGTCTCAGTTTGGCTTCATTTTGGGTTGTCAAACACAAGAATAACAACTTGTAACTCAATGGCCACTACTTCAGAAAACAATTTAAACAAACTTATAATAAGATCCAAATGCACATCATTTCCTTCTCCCCTTCATCTCAAAATTAAACTCTGGACTTGAAGCTCAGCAGCACTTGACAATGATGCTCTGTAAGTAAACATTTGAAAGAGACCATTGGAGCTACATGTTCCCACCTCAGAGAGACAATTTACTAACAATTCCTACATTAAATACATAAAAGTGACAATGCAAACAATCTGCCTCTTTTTTTTGCAAGACAATTTGATCAGTTATTAGAATTAATCTAAAAATTACTTCAGGTAACTGAGATTTTCATCATTGTAATAAATACGTTTGTGTATTGGTCACAAGTTGAATGAAGCAACATTCTTCAATGTTCCTGGATTAACAAATCCAATGGAATGCAATATGCAGACATTTACTTTCCCTCTCTCCTGAAGAGGACACTTCAAGTGGGGTCTTTCAGAAAAACACTTGAGCATTCTGCACCTCACAGCACATGAACATCTGCAGGTGTCAGATCCACCTTTCAGCTTTAGACATAAAGTAATTCCACTTTATGGGATGTGGCTCCTAATGTCAGAAGTGCAACAATTACCTTCTGAACAGGATGACTCTGCAGGCTGCCTCTCTCAGTGTGGAAAGAGATTTATTACCCAGATACACTGGTTTGTAATTGCAGAAATACTTGGATATAAAGGTTGATTTATTTTTTTTTTCCTGGTTTTACACCAGGAAGAGTCAACAAGAATGTTAAAAATGAGAGTTGTCTGAAGAAGATGAGGTGAAGGAAGCACTTGTCTAGTATCACCAGTTGACTCTAACTCTACAACAAAGTTTAGTATCACAGAATGTAAAAAGAGACAGTAATAAAATAATATACATTAAATATTCCTCCTACTTCTGCTAATAGGAACATACATCTAGGGTTTTCTCATTTACCAAAAGCCTTTGTAAATTACCTGATTCTATAGAACTTATTTTTCTGTAGATACTGTAAACATTTAGAATTTCTAAGGCTAAAAACAGGCACAAGTCTTCCATGAACAACTTATTATTCCTAAAAGCATTAAGGAATATATTCCAAATCTGCTATTCCTTTTTATAACAATGGAAAGAATTGAAATATAATATTATAATTCACAATGCAGATTCTTAATTTAAAAAAAAATATAAATCTAGCTTAATTGTGACAACAATTAATAATATGTATGGAATATATTTTTTTTAAGTGATCTATTACATCAAAATGACATTTCCAGAATCTCTGCTGGGTGTTACTCAATTTTATAAAGTGGTAAGTTTAAGGAGTGACTGCAACATTTCTAAGTGGGTAAAACTCAACCAGGTTCTGTCAGTATTGTTAGCCCCCCAGCTCCAGACTAATGCAGATCTGCAGTGTCCACTGTGCAGACTGTGGTACTAAAGCCACCAGGTACGTGGCAGCTTTTAGAAGCTGTTGCTCCATCACTTCCATGAGATGATTCCGTTTTGTGCCTCATTAAGGTACCTGAGCCAACAGTCTAGTTTCAGGCTGGTTTTCTGAGGTGTCAAGAGGTCTCCCCCCTTTGCTGAGCAGCCCAGCACTGGCCCACACTCCAGCAGACTGACTCCAACACACGGCAGCAGCAACGCATTTCCAAAGACACGGTGCAAAAAATCATTACAAGCAATTGTCACCTGCAAGTCCTCATGCCCTGCCCCCTTCTGGACGAGACAACTCACCACCAGGTAATCTTGAATTCATAGATAGGACGCTTGCAGTAGTAGTGGTTGATGAGGTGTTTATCACACACCCCGATGCACTGGTGATCCACGGTGATGCCCCTGTCAGACAGGTCTGTCACGATGCAGTGCAGCAGGTCATACACATCAGCCACGGCCTCCCAGGGGCCAAACGACACGTCCACCTCGCAGTGATGCTCAAACAGCTTGGTCTCACCTTCACTCCTCTCAAAACGTAAGGAATTGAAATGTGGGCACTCGTAGGGAGTGATGGGCATCTCTTCTTTGAAGACACAGACCTTCAGCTTTGCAAACCGTGCCTTTCTCTGCATGGCTCTCAGCTTCGCTATCTCGATTATCCGTTCCAAGTGATCTAAAAAAACAGTTAGAAATAACAATGAAGCACCTACT